AGCCATGGTACGACTGTCTTCTATGACAAATGAAAATCCACGTATCCCCGTTGAATCATAACCGCAGAAACTAGATGCGGAGGAGTACTTCAGGTCTGAAACTCCACCACCTCCCCTTTGGTCCAAGGACCTTACTCCAAACGTGTGTTCGTCTGTTTTCGACAGTACCCAAACTTCCTGATGCTCAGAGGCCAATAGTATAGGGAGATGTTTCCAAATGAGCTCCCACCTGGAGTTACTCATGGCATCGCGTACACGACCTGGTCTATTGATGCACCCAAATATATCAAATGGCTGCAATCCCGACTCGAGTCATTGGGAGTGAATTTGACCCGCGCCACGATTCAGTCCATTGAGGAGCCATTCCTTCACCCATACACTGATAAAGGGCTGGCAAGTATAGTAGTGAATGCCACCGGTCTAGGGGCAAGGACTTTACGTGGTGTTGAGGATGAAGCCGCGTTCCCAATTAGAGGCCAAACGGTCCTTATATGGGCACCTCACTATAAGAAAACACTGTGAGTGAAGAATCACCTCGCACATTTGAATCACAACCAACAGTTTCACACCAGGAGCACCAACTGGGAGGGGAACGTGTCATATATAATACCTCGTCCAGGTGGGCAAGTCATTCTAGGTCAGTTATTGGAGCCAGGCTTAGGAGCCGAACGTGTCTCAGTCAGCTGAACATGTGGGCAGGTGGTACATACGGAAAAGACGATTGGAACGTGTCTTCCTCCCAATCTGATACAGAGCGTATCGTTAAAGATTGTCTCGCTCTAGACCCGTTTCTTGCACATACTCATAGCTCAAACTCAATATCTCCCCCGGATCCTGCATCGATCCCGATTGTCAAGGTGAACGTTGGGCTCCGACCCGCACGTAAGGGCGGAGCCCGACTAGAGTTGGAGACAATCCAGGTTCCACTCCAGCCGCAACCATTCAAACCTCGAGGAAACAACCTCAACGAGTTTGCTGCCTCAAGAGAAGTGAATATTATTCATGCCTATGGAATCGGGCCCGCAGGGTTCCAGGTGAGTTGTCTTACTGCTCAGACAGGGTAGAGTCCTGAGTCTCGAAAATCAAGGCGAGTTGGGGGATCGCGGAAGACGTGTTGAAGCTGGCGGAGGAATGTGCATCAGGCTGCCAATGAAGCGGCATGCGTTTGAAATGCCAGTCCAATGATTGTGCATCTCCTTCAATCCTTCAAACCATCTCTAGAAGTGAAAAATATTTACAATATGACTTGCTTCCGTGCGTCTGAGTGATCCACCGAACTATCTATTCAATGCGATCCCTGGAGCTCCGTGATGGGCCAAGCTGGTTTTAACCGAATGGTGTAGGGATCACAGTCCCCAAGAAGAAACCTCTGCATGCTGGCCCACCCTATCATTGCTGCATTATCTGAATTTAAGTAAGAACGTGAAGATCTGAGGGTGCCCAATGGCCGATCGTACTGACCTGTGCATAAGGAAGGCGGCGGATAATGCACAGCAAGCTGCTGGTGTCCCAAAAAGTTTTCAAGTCTGGACACACATTAGCTCCGCCCAAACAATATAAGTAGGAACTGACCGCGATCGAAGATACTTGTTACTGGCGACACCACCACTGATCACAACGGTCGTTATTGTAGTACTTCGTCGACGACAAAGATCAAGGGCAAGTGAGAGCTTCTCCCTCAACTGGTCTATTGCCGCTACCTGAAACGAGTACGCAATTGATGATTGTGTATCACGTCTTAATGGTCCATTACCCTTCAGGTTGGCAACGTGTCTTTGGACGGAAGACATCAAGCCCCCATATGAGAACGCGAGTCGTCCACGCATTGGGACAGGAAATGCGGGAGTATCGCAAGACGAAATGGATGCGTGCTCTTCGGCCACTTTTTCCAGCATTGGACCAGCACCAACAACATTGCGATGTGCTGCATCGGTCCACGGGAGGCCGAGCTCGCGCGAGACCTTGTCGAAAGCGTTTCTTGGATGGTCAAATGAGAAGATCCCCGAGTATTACCGAACCGAAATGCCATACCCAATGCTCACATCAACCGTATTTGCCAGTAGCTCAAATGAAGTCTCCGAAGACGCGAGCAATATCATGGTATGTCCGCCACTGATCATTAGAGCCAAGAATGGAAATTCTGGGGCTTGGCTTGACGTGAGCATTGGTGTCAAGGCGTGAGCTTGCTTTGGTTTGTGGATAGCGTCGCACAGCTTTAACGTGGGATTGAATATATCTCACCATATGATGCACACCGACAAGCGGCTTATTCAGCGACGATGCCAATGTCTTTGCGGCGTTCATTCCAACGCCCAAGCATCCAGGCATCCCGGGCCCGCGGGTAAATGCAACCCCATCTATTGAAGTCATGGTGACCTTCGCTTCTTTGAGGGCGTCCTTCACGGCGAGAGGCTATCAAGCTTCCCAAATTAACTCCAATACATACGGGGGAATGTTGAGCATACTGGCCATATTGTCTTGATGGTGAAGAATTGCCTTGGCAGGATGAATGCCCCCCCACTGCTCATGGCTAAGTGGATCGTATCAGTGCAAAGACACTTTCATCTAATCCCACATGACGCCTACACCGAATGCTGGCGCATAACCACATTCGAAAGTATCCGACGATCGGAGGTCACAACAGCAGCACATGTGTCATCTGCAGAGCTCTCTAGCGCCAGAACTGTGAAACCACGTGAATGTTGCACCGTGTGAGAGAAAGAGACTTTCTTCTTGGGACGCCAACGTTGCAGCGATGTTAATGAGGCACACAAATGAACGCGACTTAGTTCCATCCCAAGTGGTGCAATGGAACGCAGCCGGCCGCTCGCTGAGACAATGACCGTCAATCCGGCCAACAAGTTTTGAGTTCACATCACATGTCTACCCATGACGGTCCAAGGCAGCTGAGCCCTCAAGCAATCTCAGGACATCTCAATCCTCGCCATGATAGCGCGGAAGGCATTAATGCGTGGGACCAATCGCTCTTGTAGCAAGCTGTGCAAAACCACGCCTTCTGCTCCACTGAGCTTGGTATCGCGGAGTTTCCATCCTTGGAACTTAAAGCCATCCAGCAACCGAATGTCGGTTTTGAATCGTCCAGCATCCGCGGCCCACTTTAGGCGCCCTTTCTTTTCATCTCCTTCCCAGAGGGACGTCTTCTTCGTCGCTTTCCCTGCACTCAAGGCACAACTGTTGAACTTGACACGAATATGCCTAATCGTCCTCCCCTTTGTGTATCGCTACAGGTCAGCATGACTTTTGGCTGAAAATATACATCCTACACTCAGCCAAGCTTTCTATTTTAGGCTGCATAAGAAATGTTTGTCCTCAAGCCTCCGCTTGCCACCTTCGTCTGATGTAATATCCCCAGACCCTCGAACGAGCCTTACATTGCTGCAAATACCAGTAAAATAAGGGTTTATGACGAATCCGGGATGGACGCTAAAGGAGTATTTGTTCTAGATTTTTGCTATATGCATCGTTGTCGCCCTTGCCCTTGACCAGTCCCCGCATACACAACGATGGAGATTGCTTTTGATGACACATCGCGAGGAGATAGAGTGGGCTCGTCATCGGTCTGTACCACTAGGCACAAGCGCCAATCGACCGCTTATTTCTCTTCATCAGCTTTGAAGAGTTTCTTAGGGCGGATGGTCCTCTACTGTTGGGAGAAGACGACCCAAGAGTCCAACAGGTGAACACTCATGGGCCATCTGAAGAATTCCTTTCTCCTATTTTCTAACATGTTCTAGATAAAGCGAATAACAGAACGGATCGTGACAGCTCTGGAAGAACCGGATCCAGCAAGTCGCATCGTTACTGCAGCAGATCGCTACACCAGTAGCCCCTTACAGGCATCCGCCGCCTATGAGATGAATCTTCGATTGCATACAGAGTATCCCCTAGTGCAAAGGCTGTGTGCAGTGCCTCGTTACCCTTCTTGCCTGAAAGTTCCAATCCTGCGAAGGTTTTCGATTCCTCAGAGTGGAAGATATATGTCGTGGATCTGGTAATTAGGTCTGGTAATTTGGTGGATTCGATGATGACTATATGTCGGTAGCCCAGAATCAATGCTTTCGCGCTTCCTACCAGGGAGCTTGTCGTCTACACCGGACTCATAGATCTTCTCGAGGACGATACGCTGATATCTGCTGTGTTGGCGCACGAGGTGAGCCACGTGGTTCAGCGCCATGCCGTTGAGAATGTACGTCCCTTACGCTCCGTTTCTTGACTGTTATTCATACGTTTCTCATTCTAGGCTGGAGTGAGCAGGAAACATCATGAAATGATTAAATAGATCATTTACATAATCATTCGAGTCAGTTTATCAACGTAGCTACGATCGTATTCGACATTTTACGAGGGATCTCCTATGTATTCACCATGTCCTTCCCCATGTGAGTGTTTCTGGCCTGATACCGACTCATCCCTTCCAATAACCGGATAATTTTCAGGATCAATGATGCAGCAGCTTCAATTTTTAACATAATGAATGATTACTTAGCTGAACGCGCGTACTCACGGAAACTGGAAGAGGAGGCAGATTCTTTAGGTCTCGAAGTGGGTTTGGTTTCAAAGTTGACTGTTCCTTGCCTGACTTCTGTATAGTTCATGGCCAATGCAGGCTACGATCCAAGAGGTGCGCTTGATCTGTGGGAGGTCATGGCTGCGGTAGAGTTGGTGCAAATCAGAACGCTGCTTGATCTTTCGTACCGATGATTTTCTTAGGGAAGATGCGGCTGCTGCTGGAGAATCGATATCAATACAGGACCGAATGACGTTGCTTCGGACCCATCCCACTTCCCTGCAACGACAGAAGGTGTTTCTATCAGTTTCACAAACTATGTTTGGTGTGCTCATTTGACACATTCAGAATATACAAAGGCTTCTACCCAAGGCATTAGAGCTATACAAGAAGTCTCCTTACAGGAAACACACGATCAAGTCAACCCCACAAGCTGTCATAGAGACACGGACCACCGACTAGCGTTATAGTCCATGTATCCGTTCCATTGACTCGTTAAAGAGAGGCTGGTCACCTGCCTACCATTGACTATCTCATATGTACCGACATTTGTAGTGATAAATATTCCAGCGTGGATCCAAGCCCGTCATAGATGTCGCTGGAATAGAGTGTCAGTTGCGCAAGATGACGATCCTTTAAGTAAACGATGAATTACCACGACTTGCCCATAATCTTCGTCCTCATCAGAATCATCCACCCCTCGTGGTTTGTCCGCTTCTTTTCCGGTGCTTTTCTGCTGGTGATTGACATGGCCAGGCTCTGCCCGCTCAGGAGAGGATGTGTAGAGCCTCTGCGGAGAATAGCGATTCACATAGTTTCTTGAGCTGGTCAGTGTGGGAGTTGCACTGCCGAGAGGGACGCCAAGATCACTGTCATCGTCATCCGAATTGGACGTCTGCATCCGTCTATGAGGTGCCCATTGATGGGTACCACCTTGACTGATTTCGGGGTAGTTTGCCGTAGGCGACCCGCGCTTGTTTCCCCTGAGTGAGCTGAAATCAATTCGCCCCCGTCTATCGCCAGCAGCACCTAAAAAGCCGGTAGGCCGCTCCGGGAACCTGTTCTTCGTCCCAATGAAGCCATCAGAATTTTTGTCTCGGAGGTGGCATGGGGGTAGTGAACGACGGAAGAAGACCAAAAGCTGATTCGTAGCCTGTTCCCCACGAGGAAGATCGCCACTTGAGGTCCTAGAATTTGACCCTAAGACTAGTAACCTTTCATGATAACGGAAATTCAGTATTGGCACCATTCAATGAGTAACACTGACATTTGCTGGATACGGGCCCACTGCCAGTTCTCCCCGGGGTCACCCTCTGTGTCATTTGTCCTACTTAACCCTTCAGAAAGCAATAACGTCAATTTCTCGTAACGTGGCAATATGATTGCGTCGCGGAAAGCAATTAGGCATAGCTGTCGTGCGTCTATTCGGTAGTCAGAGAGTGGCAGATCTATTCCAGAGGACGATGAGCCTCTGCGATGCCCAGCTTTCACACTGCGACTAAGCGAAATTAACAAAGCCTCCGTTTGCAACGGCAAAAATACCTGCAATTGGTTTGTCAAACTACGTGCTACTCAGTTACAAATAATGAACATACCCCTTCAATATATGGAAGTACATTGACCCAGAAGAAATTCCAGATCTCGACCAATCGTGTTATAAGCTTTTCATCATCGATTCCAGAAAGCTTCGCATTCAGGTTTTGCATTCCTCTGCTGATTAAGTCCACCAGAGATGACTCCAAGCTAGCCAGCGCCTTCGAGGGGGACTTGGACTCACTCTCAGATGAATGAAAATAGAGAATTACCGGAACGCCTACCGAGACGACAGTCTGAATATGCTCCCGTACGTGGGCATTCAAGTCCTCGATAGGTATTTTGAGAGGTTCTCCATTAAATAGGGGAAGCACATGCACGTGTAGGATGGCCCATGGAGTATCAACGGGAACATTCGTGCTGGAGCTCAAAGAAGGCGATGGTTTTAGTTCCGGTATGGTTGGAGTCAGAGTAGTGCCAGAAGCAGATGCCGATGTCGCCGAGGCAGATGCGGAAGTCGATGGGTGGTGGTGCACGCCGAGACGATCAAGTTCTCTTGTCATGATTTTGCTATCATATGTTCTGTGTGCCTTTTGGGGAGAAGGGCGCGACCCTGAATGGAATCAATAATTCTGGATAATGACACAAGGTGTGGCGAGAAACCCACCAGGTATCGGAGAAGGTGCTCCTTCACGGGAAGGATGGACACTTTCCCCTCGAGATTCACTTCTATAGGGGTGTAACCCAGACCCTGCATGACTAGTCAGGAATAGCTGCAGCTGGTAGGAAACAGCCCCTTACTAGCTAATTCGCCGTATATTGGTGCTCTTGATATCTGACGCGGAGTGGCTTCGCTCGATGGACGCGGCAAATACTCATCGCCCGATGATAATGGAGATGTTGGTCGACCGTCCGCGTCGTATGATCTCCGGGGGGCAGATAAAGTTGTAGCTGGAACGGACGGTCGTCGACCGCTAACTTCAGACATCCGCCTGCAACACCATGAGTCTTGAGATACTTACGGTTGCCGAGCAGGGCCAGGTCTAAGTTTGCATCCGACTCAAGCGCCGCGCGTCACGACCTCATCGCTACGCGTCTATACATAGGTCAATTTGCGTTTTAACGGCTCCAGCGCTGTTGTGGACATACTAGGCACCACACCAACACTTTTTCTCGCTTTTTCCGAGCGAAATTCATGCCTTACATACCTGCGCTTTGAACTCACCGCTACGCGTCTCTACATAAGTTAACTGCGTTTTAAGCGACTCTGGCGCTGTTGTGGACATACTAGGCACCACACAATCACTTTTTTTTGGCTTCTCTTCTCTGGTTAAAATTTGGACATTCTTCGAGTCTCTTTGGTCCGCAAACCGCTGATTGATCAAGCTATGTGTCACATAGGTTATGTATTACATAGTTTTGTATGTATACTGGTAACATCCCTGACTACTATCACCCACTTACGGTTGCCCAGCAGGCCAGGTTGAACGTTAACGTTCGCATCATGGTCACAAGTCACGTGATTTTTTTTTTTTTTTTGATTTTTTTTTTTTCTGTTGAGCTCACCGCTACGTGTGTTTACACTGCTACAAAAACCACATCAGACTCGTACCCAGTTGTTTTCACTCTGTGGACGTGCGCGCGACACTGCAATGTGGAAATGCGACTAAGTAGTTTTGTATTCAATGTAAAGTCACGTTCTGCTTTCAATACAAAGAGTCACATGCTACTCCGCGCGGCAACACCTCACACCATTAGCAGTGGCAGTCCACTTACGCATTTGCCAAATTCGACGCGATCCTCTCAGAAAACAATTCTGGAACACATGCAGACTCGTACCCAGTCGGAGGAGCTCCGTGGACGCGCAAAATAATAGCTTTTTTACGCAATGTAAATAAATGTTCTCACACTAGACCTGCTTCCGATTAAAGTCACGTTCTGTATTCAATACAACAGATCACATGGTACGGAGTTAAACACATAGCCGATCACCTACTCCGAAACTTGCCCGCGACACTTCGCTCCTCCGACTGGGGCAAATTGTAGATGGCTGTGCTACGGCACTTTCCGGCCTCTGTCCTCCCACGGTAAACAATGCTCGCTTCAAGGCTCTAATCACCACACCCCTCCCCAACCTAACACAGAAAAAATCCGAAACAAATGTAGTAGTTAACCCCACCCCAAATTGACCCAGCCCAACCCAGCCCAACCTGATTCATGAGCTTTTTGTCCTTATGTGCTCAAATTATGTTGGAGTTTTGTATCGCGCGCTCAAAATAATATTCTTTTTCACCTCATCGGCTAATTTCTTGGGTGGGGATACTGTAGTGATCAACACATGACCATATTGATTATCTTCTATATATCTTTTGGAATGGACCTCACGAAAATCATTGTGTATTGTTTGGGATTTGTGTACCACTTCGAGTCAATTTTGCAAAACAGGCTATGATTAGGTAGGTCTACCATGTATTTCCCTTGACTGGGCTCAATAATGACAAAGTGCTGAGCGCGCGATACAAAACTCCAACATAATTTGAGCACATAAGGACAAAAAGCTCATGAATCAGGTTGGGCTGGGTTGGGCTGGGTCAATTTGGGGTGGGGTTAACTACTACATTTGTTTCGGATTTTTTCTGTGTTAGGTTGGGGAGGGGTGTGGTGATTAGAGCCTTGAAGCGAGCATTGTTTACCGTGGGAGGACAGAGGCCGGAAAGTGCCGTAGCACAGCCATCTACAATTTGCCCCAGTCGGAGGAGCGAAGTGTCGCGGGCAAGTTTCGGAGTAGGTGATCGGCTATGTGTTTAACTCCGTACCATGTGATCTGTTGTATTGAATACAGAACGTGACTTTAATCGGAAGCAGGTCTAGTGTGAGAACATTTATTTACATTGCGTAAAAAAGCTATTATTTTGCGCGTCCACGGAGCTCCTCCGACTGGGTACGAGTCTGCATGTGTTCCAGAATTGTTTTCTGAGAGGATCGCGTCGAATTTGGCAAATGCGTAAGTGGACTGCCACTGCTAATGGTGTGAGGTGTTGCCGCGCGGAGTAGCATGTGACTCTTTGTATTGAAAGCAGAACGTGACTTTACATTGAATACAAAACTACTTAGTCGCATTTCCACATTGCAGTGTCGCGCGCATGTCCACAGAGTGAAAACAACTGGGTACGAGTCTGATGTGGTTTTTGTAGCAGTGTAAACACACGTAGCGGTGAGCTCAACAGAAAAAAAAAAAAATCAAAAAAATAAAAATCACGTGACTTGTGACCATGATGCGAACGTTAACGTTCAACCTGGCCTGCTGGGCAACCGTAAGTGGGTGATAGTAGTCAGGGATGTTACCAGTATACATACAAAACTATGTAATACATAACCTATGTGACACATAGCTTGATCAATCAGCGGTTTGCGGACCAAAGAGACTTGAAGAATGTCCAGAGAAGAGAAGCCAAAAAAAAGTGATTGTGTGGTGCCTAGTATGTCCACAACAGCGCCAGAGTCGCTTAAAACGCAGTTAACTTATGTAGAGACGCGTAGCGGTGAGTTCAAAGCGCAGGTATGTAAGGCATGAATTTCGCTCGGAAAAAGCGAGAAAAAGTGTTGGTGTGGTGCCTAGTATGTCCACAACAGCGCTGGAGCCGGTAAAACGCAAATTGACTTATGTATAGACGCGTAGCGATGAGGTCGTGACGCGCGGCACTTGAGTCGGATGCAAACTTAGACCTGGCCCTGCTCGGCAACCGTAGATACTGGTGGCGATGCAGCCAAATCACAACACTACACACTATATTTGTTAGCTCTGTCTCAGTGTCTGGGGTCGAAAGATTGATTATATCATCATATCACGACAGTTATCGCACACCTGACTTCCACTCATCTCTCTTGATGGCTGCCTTCGTCAAAGCAAAGATCAAGGCTGCCCGAGATGCGATAGGCAAGAAGGATTTCAGAACTGCTCAATCGGCTGCCGAAGAGGCCTTGCATCATGAGGCAGATAATTACAATGCGTAGGAGGAGAGGACTTAGATCCATGAGACCTTCGTCTCACTCAAACTTCGCAGTCTAGTGTTCTTAGGCTACGCTTCACTCGAGCTGCAAGAAGTGGATAAGAGTGAACAGGTTTTTGTCTGTGCAACAGGTCTTGTCACAGTCGTTGATTTGATGATCATGCGCAGGCATACTTAAAAGCTAGAAATTCTGGCCCTGAACAAGCGCTAGCTTGGCAGGTATGACATAATAGGCCTGCTGTGTCATTGCCTATTGTCTTATTGTCTATTGAAGGGACTTGAGAGGGTATATACCCGCGCTGATATGCCTCAGAAACTCCTCGACGTGTTGAACAATCTAGTCGACATATTCATGAAAATGTGTGATCACTGTTTCTCCCTTTCTCGCGCGGGGTCTGACAAAAAACAGTGAAGACGTTTCAAAATGTGCAGAAACTGTTCAAAAAATCATTGAACTCAGAAAGAAAAGTGGGACACGGGCTGAGGTATGTGCAATACCCAAGCTGAGTATGACATCTTGACGGTCGTTGAAAGATCATCGGTGCCTTGAGCCTCCTGCTTCCCTCCTCGCCATTGTATCCATTTTTAAGTGCCCTTCCACCACCTGACTATACACAACCCACATCCACGACTACGTTCCCGATTCAAGATGCAATTTATAACTCCCTCCCCCTACTAGAGGAGATAATGACCCTGTCCGAGCAAGAAGAAAAGTTAGTTGTAGATAAAGAAGTCCAGAAGCGGCGCCAGCGCATCGATGCTGGAACACCGCAGGAGATTAGGAATGCTGTTGTCCTCGAGATTGCGAAGTCATCAAATGTGAGGTCATGTCTCCCCTACGTCAGTTTAAACCGTGCTAATTTGTATCTCAGTTACTTTCCTTGTATTCCGAGATAGTGAACCACCCCAACACACCTGACCAATTGAGACGGTCAACGGAAGGGAAGATTTTGCGACACAAACTTCAATTGTTATATGCATTACCGCCGGCCGATCACGCAAAGACTCAACTGCGACAGGAAATCGATGACATCGTACAGGGAACTGTTCTGATCGAAGTGCCTGATCAACTGGCATGGACTATTGCAATTGAAAGCAAAAATGCTCGCACCGTGGGTCAGTATTCATATCGGGACGCGCTCTCAAATCTTCACGTAATCATGGCGCAGAAATGTACGACATCAGTTTATTGAGGAGCTATGTTCGGCTATTTCCTGCGTCACCTCTTTCTAACGTAATTTCGGGGTGCATGTATTGTCTTGGGATCCCTCTTTTTGGAGAGACTGAAGCAGACGCGGAAGAGGCGAAGAGGTTCCGAGACATGGATTACGAAGTAGCATTTCAGCTTGCATCGGTAGGCTATTCTACTCGAACAAGTGAATATCTCACCTAAACCCCTTGCAGGACGGCCTGGCTGACTGCCAAGACTCGATTTTGGCATACCGCCTTATCACTGCCGTGTACGCTTCGGAGGGTGACTACCCAAGTGTTATCAAGGTCGCAGAAACTGGATTGAAGCTTACTTCCATGGCCGAGCGGCACTCAGGCAGGGATCTTGCATGGTGAGCATACTTTCACATCGATTTGTCTGCTTGTTTATTGCAATCCATCCTTCTAAAAGGGTCAAGCACGCTCTTAACTCCTTCATAGCTACGGCTCTAACACATCATTACCCGCCCAAGTACCATCAAAGAGCGTTGGGGATTCTCGAACAACTCCTTTCCATGAGCCCTGACGACGCAATGTGTCTCCTGGAGCGGGGGTATATTCTGCGTCATGCGGGTCGTTATGAAGATGCACGAGATGCATTTCTTGCTGCACACGGTATATTTGAAGCTGACAATGCTCAGATGCCGCGAATTCTAGAGGCAAGGGAGGAAGCTGCATGGTGCCTCACGCTCTCTGGGCAATATGATCAAGCTCTTGTTGAAATCAGCAACGTCATTTCCAGCTTGGACGACACGGAAAATACACCTGAACGGAAGGCCCAAGCATGGTGGCGGCTTGGTCGCACGCTATGGGACAAGAGAGGTAAGGCCAGTCCGCCTTCAGGAAAAGATTCAGTAACCCTCAGTCTCGTCGTAATCATTAGATCACAGTTCTAGGAAAGAATCGTACTCCCATTTCATTGCTTCCCTCAAATATCACTCAGCCTTTGCGCCTGCGTACACTTCCCTGGGAGTATGGTACTCTGAGTTTTCGAACCCACCTGATCTTTCTCGCGCTACAAAATGCTTCCAAAAAGCTGTTGAACTAGATTTGCGCGAAGCAGATGCTGCGCGTCGTCTCGCTGAAGGCTTTGCTGATGAGAGTGACTGGGATTTGGTCGAGGTGGTTGCACGGCGGACCATTGAGGGGGAAGGTGGTGCGGAAGATCAAAGCGGGATAAAAGCGTTGGCAACAGGCAATATCGCTGCCGCTGCTCGGTACAAACCCCTTCATGCATGGGCATGGAAAGCTGTGGGAGTGGTTGAAATGGTGAGGCATGTGTCAGTGTTCATTCATGAAGGCTGATGCCCCGCTGGCTTCTAGAGCCGGGGCAACCATGAATCTGCAATCATCGCACTCCAGATCGCGTTAAGGGCCAATCAGTCTGATCATCGAGCCTGGACAAGACTTGGAGAGGCGTACGCCAAATCGGGTCGTCCTGCTGCTGCATTGAAGGCTCTTTCTCGTTCCAGAGAGATCTCTCAGGATGATTGGACCGCAGTGTACTTTATCGGAGAAGTTTACCGCCAGATGGGCCAGTTTGACTTAGCAATCGCCACATTCGAACCACTCCTCGTAGATAGACCTGACGAAGTTGGTGTCCTTTTGGCCATGGCAGAAAGTCATTTCTCCCGTGCCCGGCAGGAATTTGCTGCTGGCTACCACACACGCTTCGAGGAATCTCTTGCAATTTGTATGGAGTTGTCCATGAAGCTAGTAAACTTGGCCCCTGGATTCCGCCGAATAATATGGAAGACAATCGCGGATGCCATTTTCGAATTGTCCAAAATCACTCTTTTTGTCAATCCCACATTGGTCCTAAGCGCCGTACGTCCGGTCTGCGAGGCACTTCCCGAAAGAAGTGAAATAGCGGTTATCGTCGAGTCCTTATCTGCAACGGAATTAAGTGGGAAATTCGGAGATAATAGGGACAGATTAGAAGGGCTAGACTTGCATTGGCTTGCCATCGCATGCTACAGCACCCGAGTTGAGTTGTGCAAAAATGATCAAATGACGGAAGGAAGCGCGCTATTCGATCTTTCCATTGCGATCCACTCAATCATTCCTAAACTGGTGGGACACCAGAGTGAAAAGGCGTTATCCGATGCAGCCAATAGCGCTATACTGGACGCGCTCAAGCATTCACCTGGGAATGAATGGTACTGGAACGCCTTGGGTAATATTAAATTTCTGCGAGAGCCTAAACTGGCTCAGCATGCATATATCAAGGCATTAGAAATTGACTCTAAAGTGAGGGGCGGTTTTCTCAGAATGATATCATCCCTAACATTCTCCTTCAGAACCCCACAATTTGGACCAATCTGGGCGTGTTTTATCTCCACCACGGAGATACAGACTTGGCAAACCAATCATTCTATAAAGCACAAGTTTCAGATCCAGATTATGGACCAGCTTGGATCGGCCAGGCGATGGTCGCCACGATAAACCAGCATCTTCCAGAAGCAAGAGCGCTTTTTGAACATGCTCTGACCTTATCCACACCTACTGTACGAATATCTAGCCCGTTCATTGTGCGCAAACACTCATCATCTCATAGCCTTGGTCGGGATATGAGTATTCATACCGCGTTTTCACGGATCCACAGTTGTCAAATGTCCCATATGAAGTCCAGAATTCTTTCCTCATTGCTCCTTACTTTGCCATGAGACAGCATTGTGCCAAACATGGTGACGATCCAGGGGGGATGGAGCTCTTTGCGCTTATTTGCGAGAGACTGCATCAATATGACCTCGCTCTGGAACTGCTCGAACGTAGCATCAAATTCCTAGAGGCGGCATATGAAAAAACTGAAGACGCTGGGGTTGAATATCGGTACGCCGTCGCGAACGTCAACATTGGGCGAGTACGCTTGGCAATCGGAGACTACGCTAGTGCCAAAGCGTCCTTCGAAATAGTTATCAATCTTCTTGAAGGAAATGCGACTGATATCCAGGAGTCATCAATTTCTCCTTCTATAGTGTTGGCCCAAGCGCGTTTTGGGTTGGGTCTATCATGTCATAAGTTGGGGGAATTGGAAAATGCCCTTGCGGCGTTCGAAGCAGGGCTGGAGGAGACATCAGTCGAGTTAGCAGATGTTCGAAGTCATATCGCCATTCTTCTGGCACAAACTTTGTGGGCGATGCGTAGCGATGAGACTCGCGAAGCCGGGAAAGACCAATTGTTGCAGCTGTATGTGACCCGCTTAAACTCGCGAGACTGGAGACTCATACACTTCCAGCATTGCAGATGACCCAAACAACCTCAGGGCTATCACCTCCTTGGCAGCAATGGGAATCGTGTCACACAACAACGAGCTCACTCATGCAGCACTGACAGAGATACTTAACGTGTCGGGCGAGCGCCGGCTAGAACTTGATCCTAGAGGAGAAGTGAACCGCCTGCTCTTCCTTGACCATTCAAAAGCGGTGGGTCGGTCTCGGCACTGATCTGTGTTCTTGCCAATAATTCCCTTTCAGGGCCGAGATTTGCAGGCCGAGAAAATCCTGAAGGACGTCCTCGATGCTGACCCAATGTCACTTGCAGCACGGCTAGATTTGGTCGAGCACCTGCTATGTAAACGGCATGTGGCGGATGCCTGTGACCTCCTTGCCGAGGATGTTCAGCCTATTCCGACACCCTCAGACAGGAAATTTCGACTGCTGGCGATACTTCGGACTATGGAACGGGGGAATAATGGACGGGAATCCCTCAATGGATCACCAGTTTCACAAGGAAAACCGATACGTCTGGCGGAAAGGGCGACACTGTTGGCACCATGGAATCGAACTAATTGGCATGTGCTTGCTTACGTGCAATGTGCTAATCGCTAAGCCCTGTGATTCGGCTTAATTTCCGAGAATGTCAAATATGTCAATCCATTGGTTTATTTCCATGAGACTCAAAGCCACCTGCTAGGTGTGCAGAATCATCTCTCAAGGCCATCCGGTAGTGTATGATAAGGCCACCAACGCTGTGCGGATTTCCGAGTTCCCAAACAGGCTTCACGTGCCCTGCCTACGACACCGAAGACAATATTATTAATGGTTATCCTCACCAGGTTTAAATCAGCTGTCTGAGCAGGTCTTGACGTTATCGTACCAATTCTGGGCGGGTCAATCAAGCATCGACCCCGAATCCCATCCACTGAAAGTCTAGCAATATTGAAACGCGAACTCCATACCAAAATCTCCACACGGAACTCTGACATCATACCCTCCGGACCGCCAGCGTAGCTCCGTGAGGGCCATTTAGTTCCAACCGAGGCCAATCTCATCTTGTTCATCAGGTACAGACGGGACCCCGTTAAAGAGTATCATCAACAAGCTGACCACGGGTTGAGGAAAGTTGTGAATAATGAATTGATGATAACACGCGAAGTCAACTAGCTGATTATTTAGCATTCCTGACTAGCGCATTTTAACGAGCGGGGCCGGAAGCCTTCAACACAGTATTAGGGCCATCATGCAATGCAGAGAGGATCGGAGACGCTCCAAGCGACCCAGAAGAACACTTCGAGTCTCGCTACTGCCTCAGGTGCTTTCGTTGAGGCTATATTTACGAATCTTCCCAGCATCACGATTACCTACGTGGGTGGGCCAAGCGCGAGTAAGAGTCTTTACGTAACGCGCAGCAGGATACAGAAATACTTGTCCAAATTCTGCGCGACAACATCCAACCCCCTCTCAATGCGACTCGGTAAGGCAGAATCCTCACGAATCGTTGAATCTCCGCCGTGTTAGAAAACCGGCCTAGTGGCGCAGTTTAGTCCGGACGGCGCTGACTCCTCGATAAGCCGTCAAGTTGGGAACAGGGAGAGGCGCCTTTTTTATGGGCCAGAGCTAGAGCCGTTCTCTAGATTCACGCGGTCAGGGACCGGAAACGCTCAGGATTTACTGGAGGCACGAGGTTAAATGAAATTCGTGGCCCCTGGATCCTGGTACTCTACATCCATTCCCTCGCGTGCGCCATACCCACCGATAGCCCTTCATATACTGATCATCCGCGTATACCCAGTTTGTGGTCTAGGGGTCTCAAGTTGTTCCTAGGCTAATCTCACTCTACCGTTTTCGGTACGTTGTCTCTTTTTCCTTTTCCTCGCGTCCGTTGCACGCATCCGCGCTTCCTTTATTTACTTCGCATCCACTGTACGCACCGGCCTCCGTGCCTACTGTCAATCTTGCCTGGCGGCCGCCGTATGGCCTCGGCCGCGCCTATATTCTTTTCGATGTATCTTCGCGATCTGATTCTCGGTTCTTTATTGCTAGCTTGATCTTTTTGCTGATTGTAAGTATTCGGTTTTGCTGAGGGTAAAGGTATTGCGACCTTTGACAGGTAGGATCCCGTATGCACTGCTTGTCGTCGCCGCGCCACTTTTTTGGTGCCTGTTCGGTCGCACAAAAACATGATTTGAAGCACAGCCACTCACAGTTCTTTCCCCAGCATTCGCACAAGCAGGGGCTTCACCGACTGTATCCTGGGGAAGGCATGGCTAAGAGATTTGCCTCCGCCGATAACATTGGTAAACCCAATTCTAGTCTCGCAGAATGGACGTCCAAGATCAGAACCCTCCAGAACATGGTTGACGAAGATGCTGCCAAGGAAAGGACACAACTAGAACTTGAGATCGAGAAAAGCAGAGAAGAGCGATCCCATAAAAAGGCACAACCAGGACAAGGGAATTTCGCTTTCCGCCACGCGACAGAGGTGGACTCGGGTATGCGTTCCGAAGTTTGCTACTAATGCTATTGCTGAGTCTGGCATCTGATGTTTGAGAGGGGAACTTGGTACACGTTCCGTCCCACCGCTCGCCTCCAACTTCTTTGGCAGAGTTTATAGGCGGTCGGGCACCTGGCCCACGTCTGAACAAGCACAAACCTCAGCAGAATGTCGATGACCCCGCCGCCTTCGATCTCAGACCGTATGCTGATGGCGGATCGCCTTTATTCCAAGTAGCCCTGGGTATGATAAAAGAGAGAAACACCCATGGGCCACCGGGAGGAGTGCGATTGCCTGGCATGACACCAGAGTTCCAAGCTGGCCAGAATGGCGAAGCATCACCTCCTGACCGAGCGGACCTTTCCGGCCTTAATCCCCCAGCCCATAAGGAGGATGAACATAGTGCCTCCATGTCATCCCTCAGGGAATTGTCCGTCACTGCAAATCCTTTGCCAGTGCATGATTCGTTACCTCCAGCTCCAATGCAAAATACCAACCTGAATCTTTTATCCCCTACTTCCGGATATGAGGGGTTGGAAAAGGCTCTAACATCCAATCCGACAAGATTGCAAGGCCGCGGATTTGTAGGGGAAAGAGTTAAAGTTTCTAATACCTCAAGCATTGCCATCCCAGTGTCTCCAGCGCTTCCAACGGAATGCGGCCTTGCTTCTCCTCGGTCGCCTCCAGGTTCCCTGGTACGCGATAAATCAGTCCTTAACCGTTGGCCGCCTGCCGCCAATATATCTGGCGAACGCGGTCTTGTTGAACACTGTCCACAATCCTCAAGGGGTCACGAACTTTCTGATCAGTCTCATTCTAGTAATAATAGCGATCGTTCGAGGGCTTCGGGTATCATATCAATGGGGGCCACACAAGAGCCTGGTTTGCCGCTGAATGATGACGACCGCCCAACGCTCGTATATAAGGGGATGGAAACTTCGAGGCCAAGTTCAGGTGTCCATTCTACTGTTACGTCCTCCAATTCGGAAGTTCCTAATACACAATTTTCAGTCGGTCCTTCTGCAGATAAAGCATTTAGTGGGTCACGATTTCCCCGGGGGTCATCTTCGCTCACGCACGTAAGCGCCAATGTCCATAATATGAGAAAATTTGTTACAGGAAACACTTTTAGGTTACTAAGAATAGAGCACGCAAGCCTCCCAGCAAATCAGGTGCCTCGGCGACTGATGATTCAGAAGTTGCGGGTACAACATATCTCAGCCCTGTGACCGCCCCAGAGGCTCCAATGCATTCCAAGCCTCTCGTCGAGGGTAAGCCTACGGAGTCTGGATTGTCGGGTTCTTTAATAGCTCAATACGTGCGTGAACAGAGTCCATCATTGGATCAACAGGGCGCGTCGTGGATACACGGGACGGTCAGGTTATCACCATGAAAGAAACATCGGCTTCGGCAAGTGTTCCGCGGGACAGGGACGCTGATTCTGACGGGAACAAATCACATCCTCCCGTTTCTTCTGGTACGCGTGCCCTCCCGGGCCTGGTACAATCCTCAACAACGAAGTTGGTCAGACTCGGAATGTCACAGGAGTCAGCTGTGGCACCCCGTGCATCAGGCCCGAGAGCGTCAGTTAGAGAGTCATGGGGTGGACAGCTCCAATCCGAATCCGAGCTCAAATCAGTCGTGTCCATCAGCCCCCAAGAGTTGACTGCAGTCACAATTAGAAAAGAGGTCGCCACACCAACCATCCTGAGGAGTGCTGAGGCCCAGTCCCCTCCTCCCAACCCACCCTCTCCACCCACAACAATCTCCAGGAAAGGAAGAGCAGTCATTTCGGAGAAAACCAAATCTGACCCGGTTCCCCAAGTTGACGAGTCCCTCCCCGTAGTCGACGTGAGATCCATCCTACAGTCTGCTGCCGTGAAGCCACCCCTTTCGTTCGACTTGGCTTATACCCCAATCTCTACCGAGGTTTTTGTCATCAGAGGTCGAAATGCAGACTCGGTGTCGTCATACCCTCATATATTCTACGACACGGAACTTCGGGTTATCTTGTACAGATGCAAGGAACCTCGCAGTAGCGAACTTGCATCGACAGTTATATGGGTATGGCGAGGGAGGAATGCAGCAATGGGAGGAGAAGAAGAGTGGAAGATTCGAGATTTGGAATCGCGATTCGGCACGAAAGCTATACGGTGCAATCAAGGAGGAGAGCCATACGACTTGGTTGGGTTGCTCGGAGGGGTTGTAGCAATTCGTCGTGGAACTCAAGGCAATTGGACAAATGTAAATGCAACAATGCACTGTGTCCGTGAGCTGTCCTTTGGAATCGGGATTGTCATCGACGAGGTCGACCTCGTGAGTCCCTACCCGGCAGCATATGGGCTGGTCAACTCACCAATACGTAGAATATTTCAAACCTTTGCTCTGCATTCTCCTATGTCATCGGGGCCCTTGGTCAAATATATGTTTGGCATGGGCGGGGTAGTCTCCCCACCGAGCAGTCTCAAGCAGTCTCTTATGCAGCGCTTATGAGCAGGGACAATCTTCCCGTAAAGGAATTTAATGAAGGGAGGGAAGACTCAAAGTTTTGGACGTATCTCGGTAATGGCAGTTGGGCGAACGCAAGATTTTGGAGCGAGCGGCGGGAATTACAGAAAAGAACACCCAGTGCGTGGAGTGTGGCTTTCCCCAGGGTAATTGTTATTACTTCTATATTGTCAGCTCCACTACTTAGTAATATGTTTCTGCAGATTCACTTTGTCCCATTTTTTGGCAATCAGCACTTAGATCATGGTACGGTGTACGTTGTGGACGGCATACTAGAGCTATTTGTTATTGTTGGAAAGGACGCTCGGTCTCAGCGGAATGATATCCGCCTTGCTCTAGCACTGGCCGAAGTGGGTACAGTTCCAGTCTCAAGATAGTCCAGAATCTCAAGCTTTTTCAGGGAATCTCCTCAGTCACAGCTTCTGAACGCCCGTTTGAAGCCCCTGTGCATGTCGTGATATTACCTAGCCAATTGCCGCTTGACCTGCGCGTAGGTCATACTAGGTTTTTGGATGAAACTTTAGTCGTACGTCAGAATCTGATTGATATTATATAAAACTTATCAAGCCTCTGCAGAATGGCGGGGCCAGTCCCGGTCATCTGAATTTGCTTCATCTTAAATCAGCTAAAGCCCAGGTAAGTGGTAGTCACTAGTCGACTGATCCGGTTGGTAACTGTGTTGCTGGAAGCTGGTCAAGTCATCTATTGGCGAGGCGGAGGACACATCGTTGCTACCACCTGGTACAGCGCCCTAATTGGACTTGAGACCAATGCGTACGCTGTTCGTGATAATGGAACGTGCCTAAATATTTTGAGGTGGCGGTAAAGGGCGTAAATGTGGTTCCCAATTACCAATGCCTAGAACAACCACGGGTGTTCATATGGGAATAGAAATCAGATTTCTCTTCCACAGGGAAAGAAGCATAAGCTAATCGCAGACATTGCAACAAACATGAGCAAGCCATAAGATGATGGTTAAGGGCACTGCCGCAAACACGTGACGACTTTCTCAGAAAACTGTACAGCGGTGCATTCCTTTCCGTTCGTTCCTCAAGACCACTATGGGTCAGTCAGCGCTGCCTGTTCCACCGCTTCAATGTTGTAGCTAATCAGGGCCTTTTATTTCCCCACCGCATCCTTCCTCCACCCCGCATTTCAAACATAGGTATCACAAGATCGGCTCGGCATAAGAGGACAAAGACAGGTGGCAAAAGGTCTATTATTCGAAAGAAGAGAAAGTTCGAGCTCGGCCGCCAACCCGCCAACACCAGGCTTGGCCCCAGACGTGTTCATTTTATCCGCACTCTAGGTGGAAATTCTAAGGCTCGCGCTTTACGCCTGGATGCAGGTAATTTCTCTTGGGGTTCAGAACATGTAACTCGGAAGACTCGAATCATTGGAGTTGTGCGTTGATTTCAACTAATGAGAACGGTTTCAGCATCAACTTAGATGGTGTTGCCGACCCCAGGTTTATAGCGCTCCTAACAATGAATATATCCGAACCAATACGCTTGTCAAAAGTGTCATTGTCCAGATTGATTCCAGTCCGTTCAGGCAATGGTACGAGGCGCACGTAAGTCCTTTTGTTGTACGAGCTGCCCAAATCGTTGACGCCCAGTTACTGTAGTACGGGAAGCCTATAACTGAGAAGAGAGCAGCAAGGGCAGCAAAAGCAGCAGCGGCAGCAAAGGCTACTGCTGCCGTCCCGGAGGAAGTCAGCCCTCGCCTTGCGGAGAAATTTGCGGAGCGCGAGGCATTGTCCAAGATTGATCCTTTGCTCGAAGCGCAGTTCAATGCAGGTCGGTTGTATGCTGCTATATCCAGCCGACCTGGGCAGTGTGGCCGCGCTGATGGCTATATTGTGGAGGGGAAGGAGCTCGAGGTTAGTGCATCGCTGACAACGGTGCTTGTTTCCTGATTTTTTCCTTTCTTCGCAGTTCTACTTGAGGAAATTGAAGGCCAAGAAGCATTAAGGCGCGCCAAAGGGGGAAGTGACTCAGTTTGGTTTGGTGTCAATGTGATGCGTTGTCTGCGTGCATTCGTGCCATATGCTCCTCTGTTTTTAACTACGGTTTCATCTGTATGCATCCATCAGTATTTGCTATGCCCATCCGAACCGTTACTATCTCTACCAATGCGCGCATTTTGTGCTGTGTCGGAGTGTCATCAGCGATAGTTGCCTATTTTGGTCGATTCGGTGTTTCCGAAACCTTGCCACAGCTTTGGCCTTCACGGCTAAGTGACCCGGTTGCGTTTCCCGCCACTCTCTTCTCTCTAATCACACTCTTTCATTCCTCGGGCATTGCTGTTAAGGTTTTTCGCACCGTCGTTCTCTGTTGTGCCGTAACTCTTTGCGTGCCCTCCTGTGACTTGCAACGCCCAACTCCTATCGCCGGAGGTTCCTGGCTCCTCCCATCACGATGACGAAAAAAGTCGAATGGAAATTCTTTAATGGATACATGACTGCCAAAGATCTCTCTGATGACGATGATTTTTTGAGGTAGGCCTTACCTGTCTCACTTTTCGCTTTGCCCAGGGTTCACGGTAGCGATGACTGTCATGCCTCGCTTCTCTCCCTTGATCACTTCATAGTCATGTCCTTCTCGACACAGTAGGACTAGAGAAACCCCTAGGGGTGCACCACATGCGCGTACGGACGCGTCTCCCAGTCTACGACACCGCGGCCGTTTTGAAAATTATTCAAAAGGTTCATCTCAACTCTCAAGTCGACTTTCGAAACCTATCACTGATGTTATCGTCGTACCTGTTTTTCAAGCGCGTTATTCGACCTCCTGACCAGGATACTGATACCCGCTGTGTCAAAGCGACGAACGCCTTACTTGCGTGAGTGTCATCAAACTTCTCCAACCCACACCGTCTGAACCTTCCCCAGCCTTCCCTTTATCCAGAAACATATCCGAACGAAGTCGCGGTCTCAGATCGATGCATTTGCGACTCATGCATGGCGCTACTTCAAATTGTACATCCCCACTGGTTCTGTCGAGATTACCCTCACAAAACGCTACACTCATCGGACGGGGAAAACCGAGCTTTGTGTACTAGCCACCCGGGATCTCTATCCTGGGGATTATATTGAGCAGCTCGAAGGTTCACTTGCGCGTTTGACCTCCGCAGAAGATGCTGAGCTCAGCAAATCCAAAAACAATGGCCTTGGGAGCCGGAAGGATTTTTCTGTGGTTCAAATTATGGGCGGGAACAGCAGCATGCTTTTCCTCGGTCCGGCACGATTTGTCAATGTGAGCCCAACATGTAGACCCCCCACCCCGGCAGTCTCCTGAACCCACCCCACAGCACGACTGTAATCCTAACTGCGAACTCGAGAGGAAGGATAAAGTCATGCGGTTTAAGGTACGGCGCTTGATCAAAGCGCCGGAAGAGATCACTTGCTTCTATGCGGATGACTATTGTGAGTGCCCTAGTTTCCACTACGTTCGAACCGATATATCGTATGCATTGCAGTCGGGCCCGGGAACTGCGAATGCCTGTGTGAAACATGTCAGATTGCGGGTGTGGGAGGTTTTGCGCCCGACGCATTCAGTGAGGGGTCCGAATTAAAGACTAGAAAGAACGACGGAGTTGAGGACGAGGATGAATCCAACTCCGAGCTAGTGAATATATCATTGGTTTTCATCATTCGTTCTCTAATTTATCTTTCTTAGTGTACCTCCCGAATACTTCGTTCTTCCACCCGAACCACCGTCACACCATCAGAACCCCGGATTAGGCGGCCAACTCAGACCGCATCACCTGGCTCTAGCAATCCTCGTCAACCTCTGAGTGAGGAACTTGAGGCACTTCGACGCTCAACGCGGAAGCTAAAACCCTCAGAATACTCTGTAGTTCCCTCTATCAAGAGCGTTGGCAGGATGTCATCATCATCCCGAGGTGCCTCTCCAACCGCCAGCTCCATTAGCAAGAAGACAGAATGCGCCAGCCTCATTACCAGAACAACTTCCCTCTCGCGGGATAACGCCGCCCAGCGTTCGGTTTCTCTAGCTGGCGTGACTTCCGCTAGAAACTCGGAAGAGCCGGATGATGCTCCGAGACGATCGCTGAGACCAAGGCTAACCACCGCGGAAGTCCCTGTAACCGTACGCCCTGATCAGCCAAACCAGCGTGATCTCCGCGCTGTCAATCTAGAGATTTTGCAGCAAAAGGCTCCAAAGCGCTGGAAAGGTTGGCAGTCGTTCCCGCCTGGTACGTGCCTGAATTGCAATATCGAGGAAGCTATTCCTTTGGACGAACCGGACACGGAAATTTGTGACAAGTAAGGCTACTAATGCCGTTCCAGAATTTGTTGGCTGATGCGCGACTTCTTGCAGATGTCTTCGTCATGAAGCTATCTATGGTCAAAAGTGGCCCGACAAAAGTGATCCACCACCTGACTTATGCTCCGACAAAACGAGTTCAAGTGAAGCATCCGAATCCGGAGATGCATCAGATTCATCAATCGAAGATGAAATCGCTACTGGAAACAGTGATATGAGGCAACAGCATAAATTGGCCCGACCTACCCATCCAGTTGACCAATTTCGAACTCATTCCAAGCTGTTGCATGAGAAGGAAGAGCAGGCCGAACGATCTCGAAAGCGAGGCTTCCCTGTGCTTTCCTCTGGGAAGAAAGGGAAGCTGACTACAGTCCAAATGGCCGAAAGGGCCGCATTGCTAAAAAATCAGAGCGAAGCAGCCCTTCGTCAAGCAAAGCAACGTGAAGTTTCCTCGAACTCTGAGAGTGAGCCAATGACAAAAAAACTATCCAAGCTTGATGCCCCTACTTCGTTGGCGCCTCCCGGACGATCCAACGTGGCAATTCCACATATGAGAACGCGTAGACTTGTCACCTCCTGGTACACTCCCGAGGATTCCTTTGGACGTTTCCCCTCGTTTCGCCCGCGACGACGCTCCGTCGCTGCAGGCCACCTCCCGAAGGATGTTACTCGGGATATAAGGGCTCGCGCTCGAGAACTGATCCGCGAGAATCCTAACATGGATAAAAAGGAAGTAAACGTCATTGCCAGTGCTGGTGTCATGCGAAGCGGCCGCGCCCGAAGCAGCCTCCCTGCACGCTTAGAACAGAGCCCACCGCGTGTGGTCAAAGCCTCTCGAGGCACAAAGCGAGCTCGTGTCGAGGAATCGGGGGATGACGTTGAAGATCAGCCAGCTGCTCGTCGTTCCACCCGGCTATCTAAGCGTGTCACAGCTTCTCCAGCCCCAAGTTGCACGTCCGCCCCAGCGACAACCATTCGTCCCAAGGCTCTCCTTCCTGACAATCCGACATCACCCAGCCGCTTCGCCTATCTGACTCACCCCAACCCTGCGTCTTTCGCTCTGCGCCGACGAATGGCTAGACCTGTTCCAACCTTAGACCTCTCGGAAGACAGCGATTCCGATTCCCCAGAGACTCGCAGTTCAATACGGCACCCACGCCCTGACAGTCTTTCGTCGAACACGGAAGCTGATACGCAAGCGTCGTCCATCACTGCTACGAACTCGGCCAATCAAACGCATGCGATGGATACAAAAGAACCGAATATTGTTGCAACAGTCATCCGAGCCCTGACATTTGGGAATGAAAAATCTGCTCCTCCCATTGTCCAAGAAATTGCTTCAACACGGGACAATTCTGAACTTACCCTCGTTGCGGACAGTAAGGCTGTTAGCCCTCTCAGCGTTCCGACTGAACAGTGCGGAACTCAAGTATGATATTCCCAATGACAAATGAGATTGCTCGAAAGACAGTGCTTTGTAGATCCGCGGGTCCTTGTTGTATTTATGGCTTTTCGCTCCTGGTTTGTGTGTGTAGTTTGGGTTGTTACATACTTGGCAGCATTCTATCTTATTAGACATTCCATACTAGTTGACACGAATAATTTTGTAGCTTTGACATTCCCTAGCACCGTGATTATCAATTAATACGATTGCACGCCGTTGCGACGCTCTCGCAATCATTTCAGCAGG